ACACAAGGTCCAAAATAACTCCTGAATTCTGTCCATTTTTCTCCATTATTACCACTTAAGTCAAAGTTGCCTTAATTTCCCATGGAACTTATTGAATTAGAATGCTATTTTTAAAGATTTATTTATTTATTTGAGAGAGAGAGAGAGAGAGAGACAGAGAGGGGGAGGGGCAGAGGGAGAGAGAATCTCAAGCAGACTCCACACTGAGCACAGAGCCCAACATGGGGCTTGTTCCCATGACCCTAAGATCACGTCCTGAGCCAAAATCAAGAGTTGGCTGCCCAACCGACTGAGCCATCCAGGTGCCCCTAGAGTGCTATTTTTAAGCTTAAGACACATGGTCCCTTAATTGGTCTCCCTGTCTTCATTGGTGACCCAACAATCATTCCTCCCTTGAGCAACCAGAAGGATTATTTTAAATATGTTAGATTGTTTATTTTTAATTCTCTCCATGCTCTCTTATTGCATTCAAAATAAAATCTCAACTCCATCTTCTTAGAAATCCTATATAATCTGGCCTCTGCTTATTCCCTCTGCTTAGCATGCCTTTTTCCAAACTTTTCATGGCAGATCCTTTCTTGTTATTCGTATCTCTCATCATTGCATTCTCAGAGAAAGGTTTTGCTGCATATGCAATCTGTCCCACACTGCCCTGTTTTAGTACAGTACACAGCAGATCATAAGTTCCTTGAAACTGAAAGTAGCCCTTTGAATTCACTACTACAAGTAGTCTGGCAACTGGACAATTCTTACAAGGTTCTCTGTATGTATTCATTAAATGAATGAATGAATGGATACTCCACTACCATAGAGCTATTTTGTGATATGCCCAACACTCCCCCTCCTTATTTCTTTCCTTTTTTTTTTTAAAATGGTTGATCATCTGATGTAAACTTACCAAATCCTCTTCAGGTTGGCTCAGAGTTTTAAGTGGATTCACCAAGACCAGAAGTTATGACTGGTTGCTGGTTGAAGCCATGGTTGCATGTCAACAAATAAGTTCTTGTAAAATGACACGTCTTAGTGCAGATTTGATTGATATTTGTACTGACTGCCAAAAAGAGCTGTCATCACACACCACCATGATACCGTGAGACTCCTGGCAACCTAAATTCTTAATAGGATGACTGGCTCAATGCCCCGCAAACAGCACCACTGTTGGTAGGGTCTTCTCGTCGATGCTTATTGAGGATATAATAGCTGAAAATCCTTGGCAATTGTTTGAGGGCTCTCTATCCTTGTACATGCCATCTTGGATTAAGTTATATTATACTGGATTCATCAGTAGCCTGTTTTTTCCCCACAGATGTCAATTCTGCCCTCCATGATGGCAAGTAGAACAAAGAGGCTTTTATCACAGCGAAACTGAACGAAAGGTTAGCCCAACCAGTTTGTTTGTTTGTTTGTTTAGAGAGGGAGGAGGGAGAGCAGAGGGAGAGGGAGAGAAAGAATCTTAAGCAGGCTCCACACCCAGCTCGGAGCCGGACACAGGGCTTGATCTCACAGCCTTGAGATCATGACCGGAGCCGAAATCAAGAGTTGGATGCTTAACCGACTTCGCCACCCAGATGCCCCAGCCCAGCCAGCTTTGGTCCCAGCTCTAACAACATCATTCTGATCCAAACAAGCCCTAACAATCTGTGTGCCAAAGCTGCATGTTTCCGTAAAGTAGAATTAATATGACTTCTCCGTATACCACATGAATGCCATAAGGAAACATAAAGTGACTAGAATGAAAGTTTTGTGAAATACAAAATACCTGCAATCAGTTATTACTAAAGTGAAATGTTATTTTACTTCTCTGAAAGGTAAAACTTGCAATATTATTTCCAACTTTGAGGTCTGTGGTTGCAGTGTGGTTTGATGAGTATCTATTGAACATCTGAAGTAGGCAAGGCCTTGTGTGTTATGGGAAATTGGAAGAGCTGAAAAACCGCAATAATGCGATTACTAGAATAGAAAATAGACTATTAGACAAATGGATAAAAAGTGAGGTTATTTAGTTTTCAGGGGGGAAAAAGGCTGAGTTCAGGCCCAGTATATATACATTGTCTTAGTTTCAGAGAGGAACAATAGAGAGGCAATATTTCACCTTATATTTAGATCACAAAAGGGAAAACCTTGCTGATTCCAAGAAATAATTTCTATGGAAACTTGCCTTCTCTTCTTGAAAAGTTTAAAGGGCCTTTCTAAAGTGGTTTAGGTAGTTCCATCTATTAACAGGGAGACATGGAGGCTCGAAAGCTCATGATAAATTTAGGAACTATCATGATTTTCACTCCTACTCCTTTGTAGTGTGAGTATAGTTGTATCAGCTCATGATTTTAACTCATACTCCTGATCATATATCAGCCATGATGTAAAAAATAAAAAATAAAAAATGAAAAATAACAGTGAAGCTCGCAATAGGTTCACTGAATGCTACTTTGGTAAGACCTAGCTTTGAACTTCGAGGAAGACTAAAAAAGACCAAATGAGTTAGAGAAATCAGCTAGGACCCAAGAAACACTTACAGATTCCTGTCATCATGAAGCTGGGGAAAAGAAAGGCATGGGGAAAGTGAGCATAATCTTTAAGCAATTCCAGTTACCTAGAAACAAGTTTTGAACTGATTTTTATGTCCACGGAGGACAAAATCAGACATAACAGTTGGAATGGATAGGCAGGCAATTTTTTCTTAATAGAAAGATCATACAAGGTTGGAAGCTGATGATCTTCGCATTCCTAGAATTGAAGTATAGATAGCTGGGGAAGAAGAGCAGATTGCCTGCAGTGAATGAAATTGAACTTGTGGTTCTCAGTGGGAAGGTGTTTGTAAGTTTGCAGGAATGTTTTTAATAGTCACAGGGAAGGTTGCTAACTGGCCTTCTGTGGGCAGGAAGCAGAAGTGCTAGATGTCCTGAAATGATCAAGAAAGCTCCAAACGGAAAAACTGTCCCATGTCCCACATCTCATATACCTTTGTAATGTCACACCAGTTATAGATACGTTATAAATATAACTGCAAGTACTTTACCACATGATAATCTTGGGAATTTTTTTCAAGAAGTTAGGTAAAATAATTTAGAAGAAAGTTGTCATGAAGAAGAATTAGGTGTTATTTACAAATTATTCAATAATTTGCTTTTTCTGCCCATAGTATCTATTTAACGTGTTATATATTTCCAACTACCTATTTAATTTTAAAGGGTTCCAGTGCAAGGATTTAATTTTTCCAATGGCAAATATGAGGCACACACACACACACAAAGATTTAAGACTAGTGTCTTATGCACTGAATTACAGTGAAACACAACTATTGGGGAAACTAAGGAAGACTGTGTTTTGTTTTGTTTGGGATTTTCTAAGAGTTTTCTAAAGGTACATCACTGCCAGCAAATGCTACTCAGGGTGTCTGAGCTTCTTATAAAACACCCTGGATCAGACTTTTCTTCTTTTTTAAAAAAGATTTTATTTATTTGTTTGAGAGAGAGAGAGGGAGTGAGAGTGCACTCATAGGGAGGAGGGACAGAGGAAGAAGGAGAGACTCTGAAGCAGACTCCATGCTGAGTGCAGAACCCAACCTGGGGCTTGATCTCATGACCCTGAGATCATGATCTGGCCAAAACCACGAGTCAGCTGCTTAACTGACCGAGCCACCCAGGCGGCCCTCCCCCTGGATCCATCTTTACTTACAGCTGCACATCTGAACATATGTAGTAACCGTGACAATTTGACACTCTTATGAATAGGCTTAGATACAGAGTCTAAATTAGCAGACGTCTGAAGCAGTGATGTCAGTAAGTTGCATTAAGTGTTTTGAAAATATTTGTATTGCTATTCTCTATACTTTTCATTTTCGAAATATGAAGAGGAGATCTCTGCTGTGAAAATGACACATTGAAGTGCATTTGTTTCCAGCTTGCCCATCGTACACTGAAACTACCCCACAACAGTTTGCCAATCTATTCTCTTTTGCCTGCTGCTGATCTTGGACTCTTATCTCTGAGGTCCCTTTATGTATCAGAAACTAAATGTATACCTCGCTACATGGAAGACTGTTGAATGTAGAAGATGCGTTTTGTGTTAAACAGTGTCACTTCCTAGTTGTATTTCATAATATAAATAATTTTGACACGACACTACACAATAATTTCTAGCTCATTTGCAAGAATATTATACTTTCCTCATTTTCCATCATCCACAGCCCATTATTTTTCTTGGCATGTTCTCTTTTACTTTAATTAAGGTTATTTTCCTCTTTCTCTCATCATATGCAAATATACCTAGTCTCTTATCATAACACTAGGTTTTATTCAAGGGTCCACCTGTACTTATGCTTGCTCAGTTATTTTACTCACTTTTTCATTTACTTTTATACTTGTACGGAAGGACTACCGATTCCTTTGCATCTTGTAAACTCAAACTTGTTCATTTTAATTATTTGTAGTCACAGGCAATTTCATTATGACTACAGAAGAACTGTATCTGAACAAGTACATAGGGGATCCATACAATTTTGTTATATATTTTTTAAATTTTATCTTGGTTTTAGATTAGAGTTAGGACATTATATCAACATAAAAAATCAATATGTGGGTTATTTTATGTACGAATTTCAATTTGAGTTATTAAAGAGGGCATCACATAATGCTCCTATGAGAAGGAATGGTGTCTGATAGGGTTGAGAACACCATATTAGATAATCTCTAAAATCTTGTCTCCTCTAAATTCCTCAGACTCCTTGGTTTCTCTAATCTCACTAATGATGGTGAATACTCCTGTCTTTCAGCAGAGTAAAAATTTCTTTCATGAAAACTCATAAGTTGAACTTAACTCATTTAGTAGTATACATGTTTATTTTACACTTACAAAAGAGAGTGAACCATTTTTCTGTTATTTCACTGAATTGAGAAGACATGACAAATCAAGAGATGCAAACACCAGTTCTCTGGACATGACTATTGTCAACACACACACACACACACATACACACTCACGCGCATGTGCATTCTTCTTACCTAGCTTGACAAGCTGGAGCATGGAGGTATTACTTCCTCGTTCTGTGCAAGCGGTTACTGAGAGGTTGTAGATATCTCCTGGAGGCAGGCTGAGAATTGCAGTCATGACATTGCGTGTGACCTGCAAGATCCATCAAAATCAAGGGTTTAAACTTCTAATGAACTTGAACTAGAATACCACTCCAAACAACGACAGGGCTATAGCAGGCATTCCCTCTCTGTTCTGTGTAATCAATCTACAGTTGATCACAACCTTATGGATACTTTGTTTCCTTTGAAAATGTTATAAATTCCTCAACTGAGCCAAATGCAAGGTAGCTCTAAAAATGCATAATACCTATCAGAATATTTTTTGCAATTAGTTTTCTTTTTTCTTTTTTTTTAAAGATTTTATTTATTTAATTGAAAGAGAGAGAATGAAAGAGAGAGCACGAGAGGGGAGAGGGTCAGAGGGAGAAGCAGACCCCCTGCCGAGCAGGGAGCCCGATGTGGGACTCGATCCCGGGACTCCAGGATCATGACCTGAGCCGAAGGCAGTCGCTTAACCAACTGAGCCATCCAGGCGCCCTGCAATTAATTTTCTATTTGGAATAGGTATTCCTCTGATATTTTTCCTCATCTTCACAGCAAATTGTAGAAAAGGCATTTGCTGGGTTGCCACTGATGTATACATTACTCAGCCCTAGCTGGGAAGCTCCGAAGAAACCTAGTCACGTCTACAGCCACCTGGCTTCTTAATGAAAGACGGAATTTCCCAGTCTCCCTTATAGTTAGAGGGGACCGTGTGATCCACCTCTGACCAATCGATTGTCAGTGGAAGTCACACGGGCAGCTTATAATTCTGTCCACACCCAGGAAGTGCTGGGCTACCACACCTTGTCTTTTCCTCTCCCCACAGGCTAGAATATGGATCTAATAACTGTGCAGGTTCACCCATGCAAATGAAGACTACACCGTGGTAGATGGAACAACAGGATAGAAAGAATCTGGACCCCTGGATGATTGATCCCTTACAGCAAAGGTGCCCTCATAGTCCTGTGCCCGCACGAGAGAAACAAACTTTTATTTTCTTTGAGCCACAATCTTCGAGTTTTGTTTTTTGTTGTTTTTTTTCCAGTAATTTAGTCTGTACCTTAACTAATGTAATGCCAAATAGTTTAATAAAGCAGAAGAAAAGAAATCAGTATTTCCAACGTACTCAAATATTTAGGCATTGGTGATACATGGAGAAAATTTTAAAACATATTCACTGTGGTTTTCTTGAAAATGTTTGACATCCTGAAGGAAAAGCTCAAATCCTAACTTTAAATATAAATGAATTACTATGGGGCACCTGGGTGGCTCAGATGGTTAAGTGTCTGCCTTCGGCTCAGGTCATGATCCCAGAGTCCTGGGATCGAGCCCTGCATTGGGCTCCCTGCTCCTCGGGAGGCCTGCTTCTCCCCCTCCCTCTGCCACTCCCCTTGCTTGTGTTCCCTCTCTCGCTGTGTCTCTCTCTGTCAAATAAATAAATAAAATCTTAAAAAAAAAAAAAGTTTGACATCCTGAAGGAAAAACTCAAATCTTAACTTTAAATATAAATGAATTACTAGTTATAACTAGTACAGCTCACTATTAAAGAGTAAAAGGTAAACTCTCTGAAAGGAAGAATTCAAATTTTACTGTCCTATCATCGGAGCCTAAAACAGTGCCAACAAGCATAAGACATTTGTTTAATGTTTCAATAAATGTCTGCTTAATGGTTTTCAATAGTTTATGTAAATGAATGTTCAGATGCCCCATACTGGGATTCAAAGAAACATACACTCTTTTTAATTTTCTTCTTTCCTTCTGCAACAACCATCCAGTGTAGCATTCTAGAATGGGAGAGGTCAGTTTTGTCATCACCATATGTCCAACTGATATATAACAGACTGTTGAAATACTCCACAGATGTGATTTCCGGAGCAACTGGGGCTAAAGGAAAGAAAGAGGTGCACTTTAGTTTAAGAGACTAACAATAATTAAAGTACTTCTCAACAGAGCATGAAATCTCATGTGGAGTTAATTTAGAGAATTAAAGTTCACACCATATGATGGTCCTGGGGATCCCTGGACCTCTCAGTAGTATGTGAAGGTTGGTGGTAAAAGGTGGACACTTGTTTCCTGGGGCCCCACCTTGTATGGCTCAGACACAAGGCAGTCAGACCCATCTGTACCTGAGGATATCGGGTCTTTATACAAATTTCATGGTTAAAGATTCCTGAAATGTTCACTTCTTTGAGTACACTTGTATCAATAAATTAATAGTATAAGGTGTGGCTGAACTTATTTTCCAAGCAGTACTGGAAAATTTGGGGTCCTATAAGAGTAAATTTTTACTTGTGGTGCAGCAAAGATGTTTATGGAAATAAAGGACAATAGGGTCAACAATTAGAGGGACAGAAAATAATTATTGTTTCTATAAAATAATAAGGCAATATCATTGATAGTGTCTAACCAAAGCTTTGCAAAAAGTGGGCTCTAACTAAATGTTGCTGAAACAAGTAACAAGGGAAGGCAGGAAGGGCTCTTTGCTAAAATCTAACACTGAGTTTATTAATTTTTTAGTTTTCTCACACATTTAAATTTAAATTATCTCTAGTGGGGAGGAGAGTTCTTTAGAAGATTTGTAATTTATGAGCTCTCAAAGCGTATTTTAATTATTTTTTAAACTAACTGATAATTCTGAAGATTTTTAGGAAACACATTCACAGTTGAATTTAAAGTCCATGTGTATGTTGGTTTGAAGACAAACAGGTGTTCCATTCTGAAAGACAGCACAAAACCAGCTGAAATATTTGGAGGAGAATTTCCATAAACCATGAAGATTCATTTTCCTCAAGATTCTACAAGTACTCATAACAAGCACTCATAACTATGCTTTCAAGAACAATTATTCACTGAAGAGATTTGTAATATATAGAGTAAAAAACATTTCTGTTTCAGGGCACGTGGGGGGCTCAGTTGGTTAAACGACTGCCTTCGGCTCAGGTCATGATCCTGGAGTCCCGGGATCGAGTCCTGCATCGGGCTCCCTGCTCAGCGGGGAGTCTGCTTCTCCCTCTGACCCTCCTCCCTCTCATGCTCTCTGTCTCTCATTGTCTCTCTCGCAAATAAATAAAATCTTAAAAAAAAAAAAATTAAATGTTTAAAAAAAATACTGTTTCATGTGAAATTAGAGTAGTACTTCTATATGTTTGACAATAAAATCTTGAAATACCAGTAATGTATCTAGCAAGTAACACAAAACTGCATCCTATTTCAGAATAGTCTAATAAAAAGAATAATACCTTTGGCTTCTTTTCTCTTAATATATTTCTCTGTACTTCATTATATGTATATATCTATACTTACATTTCTTCAAAGGATATTTTCTCATGTCCTAATTCTAGTAAGGGCGAGAAATGTATTTAAAATTGCGAACCCAGAAGTGTATAGCTCCCCTCACAGGTATTAACCAAGTTTTTAGATTTTTATACTCTGTATGGTCGCTTTAAAATGCAGCATAGTGCTGAAAGGCCACAAGATGTCACTATTTGTTTATTAAACATTATTTGGTACACTAGCATGATTACTATGCATTTGACTTGCAGACAAAGTTGCCTAACAAAGACAGGGGACCTGAGGTCCTAATAAATCACATCTTATTCAGATATTTTATTCCTATATCCTTTTATATCACACGATTTGGCATTTTGGCTCACAACTAAAAACATAGTGGGGCGCCTGGGTGGCTCAGTCGTTAAGCGTCTGCCTTCGGCTCGGGTCATGATCGCAGGGTCCTGGGATCGAGCCCCGCATCGGGCTTCCTGCTCTGTGGGAAGCCTGCTTCTCCCTCTGCCACTCCCCCTGCTTGTGTTCCCTCTCTCGCTGTCTCTCTCTGTCAAATAAAAAAAATAAAAATCTTAAAAAAAAAAAAACCTACGTAAGAGAAGTATGCTATCCTTGTTTGCTTTAAACTTGAAATGAGGGAAGAAAAACAAAACGAGACAAAGCTAAAATTTCAACCGGTTTTTAAAAATAAGTATAAAAATAAAAGTCAGCCACCATATATATTTTAATAGTCATTTTATTACGTAATTTCTCACACTACCTGTGAAATTCCATTATACCCATTTTATAGATGTGAGAATTGACTGTCTGTGTTAATATGCTTAGAGGAGACCATGAACTACCAATGTCAGCATGCCTTAGGAGATTGTCCCAGGAAAAGATAAGAAATTCCCAGAGATCAATTTATTGGAGATAATAGACTGCTCACCTAGGCAAGTAGCTCACTTATTGACCTTATAACTATTCAGATTTGCTGGGTCCATCACCTTTGCCAGATCCTGGTCAGTTCCCAGCTTTGAAAGGCACACCCCCACCACTTGAGTCCAGAACTCCAAATCCTGTTAATTTTTCATTTCTGATGTCCCCCTTCAGAGACACTGCAAAGAGCCCATCAAGGCAGTTTTCTGCCTTATTGCAGTGAGTTCTAATAAACCTGATTTTGCTCTATTAGCCAGTTGTTAGGTAGCATTTTGAATTCTGCCAACGAGAAAAGAGAAGTCCAGGATCATTAAGATAATTTGCCCCGAGTTCGACTGCTAGAATTTTGCAGAGCCCGGTCTGCTCAAATCAAGTGTTCAGATGCAAAGTCTGGGCTTTTTCCAGACATCTGCTCTGTCTGAGAAGGAAAGAATATTCTCAGAGAGGCAATGTCAATGAAGTTAAGCTGTATGAATTATTTATATGGTAAAATTTAATTAAATTTAAGTACGCAATTATTAATATAGTCAAGAAGCTAACACAGTACTTGTCACATAGTTGGTATTTTCTACCTTTTTGGTGTTTTTTCACTTTTCTACTCTAGCATTACTGTTAACATCTGGAACACAGGGAGCTCTAGATATTGGCTCTTAAAAGAAGGGGATGTTCTATGTACGTGGATAGTGTAAGAATTCACATGATTAATTTTTTTTAAGATTTTATTTTTAATAAAATCATCTCTATGCCCAATGTGGGGCTTGAACTCACAACCCCAAGATCAAAAGTCGCATGTTCTACCAACTGAGCCAGCCAGGTGCCCTCACATGATTAATTTCTTTCCATTTTCTTTCATTCTGGTAAAGTTTGATGGAATAAAACTAAATGCCCAGAGAAGAAAGTATTTTGCTAACATTATCTTTCACCTAGACATGTTTTTCTTGTTTCTTCTCTCAGCATAACACTGATTAGAGCCTTGTAGTCCAACCAAAAGTTCCTGAAAAATCTTAGTGCAAATAGGGTTCAAAAAGGATTAATGTTTCTTTGATGAATTTCCCCTTCTCGTTGTCTTCTCTGACCACCTCTGCTATCTCTGTTATATGATAATGAGCTAACAGTTGTTTAAGTACTTAAACTTTGTGCCACATATTTCACTAAGTAATGTATTTTTTTTTTAAAGAGGGGGGGGTGAGGGGAGGGGCAGAGGGAGAGGGAGAGAGAGAATCCTAAGCAGGCTCCATGCCCAGAGTGGAGCTCGATGCAGGGTTTGATCTCACAACCCTGAGATCATGACCTGACCCCAAATCAAGAGTGAGATGCCTAACCGACTGAGCCACTCAGGTGTCCCCTAAGGGACATATTTAAATGGAAAAGAATAATAGGTATCATTATCATATCCATTTAACACTTTAAAAAGCTGAGGCTTAGGAAAGTTAACATGCACAGGTTACACAGGGTAGATGGCCGATCCGTGATTCAAACCCAGGTCCACCTGTCTCCAAAGCCTATTTTCACTCCTGCAATGGACAACACTGCCATCAGTCTGTGACCTTAAAAATGGCTTAATTAATAAGGAGACGAAGGCACTCTAGCAAATATCATCATGGAATGGCTACAATCAATTCATCTCAGTGTGAAGCTAAAAGCTCTGTCTGCTACAACTCTATTCTCATCAATTCCGAATGGAGCACATAAAGGACAGTAACTCAGAATAAAAACATATTTTAATGTTTAAAGACTATCATTTAAACAAATAATGAATTTACAGAATTAAGCATACTGTCGTCCGTGGAACTGATGCTCGATCAGTGCCAGGTGAACAACTCGAAATTTCTGGAGGTGCATCTCTTCAGAAACTCCTCAAAACAGCCCTCTCTCCCCCTGGAAGCAGTTCCCACACACCACTCACCTGTTATGAAGCTGATGGTGGAGCTGTCACAACAGCTCAATTCCGGGTCTCCCCATGTGACCATGGTAACTCGAAAGTTGTAGTACCATGCTGGCAATAGATTGGCTATCCTCTAAAAAGAGCAAGGAGACAAAAGACTAAGGGGAAAAAAATCATATTTTTGGAGTACAGTTATTTTTATTAGGTCATGAAAATAATCTTTTTTTTAATTTTATTTATTTTTTATTATTTTTATTTCTGTGCCTTTTTGTATTTCCCAAATTTTCCATTTCCGGACTGAGGTAAGGTGTAAATAGAATGATATGCAAACATAATTTTTTTAAAGATTTTATTTATTTATTTTTGAGAGAGAGAAAGAGAGAGAGCACAAGCAGAGGGGAGGGGTAGAGGGAGAGGGGGAAGCAGACTCCCCGCTGAGCAAGGAGCCCAATGAGGGGCTGGATCCCAGGACCCCAGGATCATGACCTGAGCTGAAGGCAGACGCTTAACGGACTGAGCCACCCAGGTGCCCTACAAACATAGTTTTGAAGAAGTGATTCATAGGTACAGTCAAATATTTCCAATATTGGTTTCGTTTTGCAGTCTCCCAAGTTGTGTTACACATATGAAATACTACTTATTTGTAAATGACTGTACATACGCATCCCCCTATTTCTAAGAAAATTGGCCTCTCACAACTCTGTGTTCTCCCAGTTTGGACTAGAAGCATGCATCCTTGTTGGGTGGCAAATATCAGAGTCTTCAGCTGGGTAGAGGACAATTGTGTACTTCATGCATGACCTGTAGGAACCTGCACTTTAGAAATTATTCCAGTCTCAGAGAGAGCAATCTTCACCTGCTCTCTTGAAAAGCATCTTCTAATGACCTGACATTAGAGGTATTTAAAGGATGTGTAGATGTTAAGAATAGTCATCATTAGCGTTAAACAGTGTCAACTCATTATCGAATGACTAAAGGAAATGTTTTTGTGTGTTTTCCTCCTCAGGAGTAGAGAGAAACAATAAGCACTTGATAGCTCCAGTAGAATGTGGATATGCTCAATTAGGGGTGAAAGCTTGCTTCACATAATTATTTTTTTCTCTCTCTCTCTCTCTCCCCAAAACAAAAATAGTCCAGAAAGCAAAAACAACTAGAAAAATCTTGAAAGCAGAAAGCCCCCTGTATGTATTTACAGGTAACTTTTATTGGTACATTCGGTAGGGAAAGGCACATCTGTTTACACAGGGACGTGTGACAGCTACTTACCACGGATGCAGTCAAGGAGATAGTTGCTGCGATTTCATAGTACGTTGTCCACTCTGATGTCATTGTTGCAGGGTTGAAATAAAACATTTCAACTACGTATTTTCTGAACACTCCTAAGTAAGGTCTGCTCCAGCTCAGGACCACTGCCGTAGGACCCAAGGGATAGAGCATTAAATCCTTTATCCCTGTTGGAACTAAGAAGAAGTAGGGAGGGATGAAAAAAAAAAAAAAAAAAAGAGCCAGGAAGGAATGTTTAATATCTTAGCAATGGCTTCAAACTTCTTAATAGCTAGAGTTTTTGCTCTTCCAATACCATCATTGAATAAATCATATTCGCCTCTGATGTTATTTTTCCTGAGCTGTAGATGTTAACGATATCCCCCTGGTATACAACAGTAGTCATTTATTACTCTGAGTGTAGAATATTGGGTGAACAAGTAGGGCCCCCCATATATGATGATAATGACTTGGACCTGGGCATTGGACCCCCGCCTCTCCCCCCAACAGTACTCTGATAAAGTTATTCTGGAGGCTGGCAGCTTACCGATAGCAAATGTGACAGGATCTGAAGGGGGTCCAATCAAAGGGCCTTTTCTTAGGTACATCACGACCTGGTACTGGGCACCAGGAACCAGATTTTCAATAATAGATTTGCTTGAGTTCACCTTTAAACCAAACACCCGAAATGATTTATTTAGAGCTGGGCTTTCATAATGTGACACAAAAGCTGATATCATATTCAGGGCTCTTTGTGGAGCCACAGATGCCTTTGAAATCCAGAAGCCTTTGCTCGTTCTGGGGAAGGTCAGATTTCAGAATTAGGATGATTTATAGTTTATGTGAACACTGAAGGGAACCCAGAACATTCAAATTCTATGGCTGGATTTAATAAGCCCCGTGAACTGCTTTGTACCCATCACTGTCAATTTTAACTATATACACTAGAGACACATCAGCCCCTAACCATAATCAAATCAGCAATACCATAAGGGGAGTCTGACATCCTAAACCGTAGTGTCAGCTAAAACCGTACAAAGATCAGGGCAACAATGTCTTCAGCCTTTCGTCACTTAGAAGCATATAATATCTAATTATAGAGATGGAAATGACCTCAGAGATCATCTGCTCCAAATCTCTCATTTAATAGATCAAGAAAGTAAAGCCAGGAAATGGCCAAGGTCACATATTTAGATTCAGCGCTGGGGCTGGGAGCCTAGTGTTGTGACCTCTACAGCCTGCTACGGGCAAGTCATGGGACTTAGCGTGGGGGGACAGCAGGAAGCACTTCTCCAGGCTATTGTGACCCCATAAAATAATGTTGTAGGAAATATTTCTCATTTAGATGAGCTCTTTGCTGTTCTTTAAAAAAAAAAAGGGGGGGGCGCTTGGGTGGCTCAGCCGGTTGGGTGTCTGCCTTTGGCTCGGGTCATGATCCCAGGGTCCAGGGATCGAGTCCTGCATCAGGCTCCCTGCTCAGTGGAGAGTCTGCTTCTCTCTCTCTCTCCCTCTGCTGCTCCCCCTGCTTGTGCTCTCTCTCTCTTTCTCTCTGTCAAATGAATAAATAAAATCTTAAAAAAAGAAAACTTTTGGGTCAGTAACAAATGCAATATAGAGAACAATAGAACAGATAGATGAATGAAATGTTCTTACTAAGGTTAAATGTTGGTGTGCACGAGGATTGATGCTTCAGCTTACGGGTCAAGAAGTGTGCGACTTTGACCTTAAGTGCCTCTGTAGTTAAGACAGTCTTGCTTAGTAGAAAGAACACAGGCTCTCTATTCAGACTGCCTGAAATCAAATCCTGACTCTACTCCCTTGTAAGAATGGGAATTTATTTATAATTTGCTTTTAATTCTTACCTTGGCTTCCTGATTGGTAAACTATAGATAATGCTATTCTATACCTCACAGAGTGGCAAGGATGCTTAAACTAGAGTATCAATAAAGTTAACTCATTACTCAGCAATTCTTTGGCCTCTGGGGTACATAACATAAAATTGCTGTGGAAAGGAGCATAAATCAATGAAGAACAGTATTGTTGGCAGTTTACGTATGCTATAAGTTTTTGTTTATTAAGCTTCGTTATGATTTTAAGAATAAACACAGAATTGGTGATATGATACGAACTTTAAACCTTTCTGATACCAGAAACTGATTCTACACAAGTGAAATTGTGGAATTTGAATTGGTAGAACTTGCTCTAAATGTAAGTGGAGGGACAGGCACACCATAATTTCTTTACCAATAACTTGAGCAAAATAAAATTAAGTTGAATGACTACATTAGCATTTCCCTCCTTTCTTTCCTATTTACACTGATATCAGAATTTTTTGCCCATGTTTTCGAAGGTGAATTCTGCTGGAAGCCATCTAGACAAAGTTGGCCAACTAGATATCCTCATCTGACGGAGCATTTCCTGAAGAGACAAACCACGAGCAAGACATGCATGCTGTGCAAAACTAAGTAACACTGTCTTATTTCTTTAAAATAATTTTTTAAATGAGAAAACTAATAATGCTCACAGTAGAAGAGCAAATGGCGTAAACCGGCAATTTTTCTGTCCTCCTCCCCTCATTTCAAACATTTTGGTGGGCAATCTTCCAGACCCTCCTGGATACATATAGACATAAATAATATGATATAGAACCATATAGGTGTTACATTATTAACATCGCTCCCAACTTTTCTTTAAAACTTAACAACACATCAGAGACATCTAGGCATATCCGTGAATGCTAACTTAGCTCATTAATCACTCATTTAGAATACTTAGAATAGCAGGACAGAAAACGTGTAGACTGCTTTAGGGTGGTGTTAAAGATTCTTTGGTTGGATAATATTTTAAGCAAGCAGTTGGTTCTGATTATTCAAATGACTATGTGAAATCAGAGCCACTTAAATATGCCATCATATTTAATACCCTGAGGGTATCATGCTAGTGAAATAAGTCGGAGAAAGACAAGTACTGTATGATTTCACTATGTGGAAACTAAAAAGCAAAACAAATGAACAAACAAAACAGAATAAAACTTATAGGTAAGGGGAACAGAATGGTGGTTGCCAGAGGGGAGGGGTTTTGGGAGGTGGATGGTATGGGTGAAGGGGCTCAAGAGGTACAAACTTCCTGTTATAAAATAAACAGGTCACGGGGATGTCATGTACAGCTCGGTAACTAGAGTCAGTAATATTGTGTTGCATATTTGAAAATTGCTAAGAGAGTAAATCTTAAAAGTTCTCATCACAAGAAAAAAGATTTTGTAACTTTCAATGGTGATGGATGGCAACTAGGCTTATTGTGATGATCATTTCACAATGTATACAATGATTGAATCATTACGTTGTTACCCTGAAAATATGTTCTACATCAATTATACCTCAATACAAAAAATACGCCATCATAACAAATTCACCCTAGGGACATTATACTCCTTTTAAAAAAGATTTTATTAATTTATTTGCAAGAGAGAGAGCATGAGTGGGGTGAGGAGCAGAGGGAGAGGGACAAGCAGACTCGCCACTGAGAACGGAGCCATCACCTCTGACCTGGAGCTCAAGGTGGGGCTAAAGGTGGGGCTCTTCACAGGACTCCATATGGGGCTCCACCCCAGGACCACAGGATTAAGACCTGAACCGAACTCAGACTGATGCTTAACTGACTGAGACACCCAGGCGCCCCTACTTTTTTTTTTTTAATAAAGAAGCAACTATGTGTATATACATCAGACTATTTCAAAAAATGTCCTCGGTAATAAATAACAAATAATAAACACCAACTCCTTCCTGCTACCTTGTTTTTGAATATTTGCTGAGCCACCAGCCTGTACCTAATGCTTCTATGCTTCCATGCCCCTTGCTTTTATCCTGGATCGCCTTGGGGCAAGTAGACTGTAGGCAGGCAGGAGAAACGCCCCTGAATACTACTTACTAAATAATATGTATTTTATTCTCCAGAGGATCATCCCACATCCCCTCCCCCAATTTTCATCCCATTTTTGCATTCCACTATTTCCTCTCTCCCATTCCCAATGGGCTTCGTCTCCATTTAAGAGAATTCAGTTCAGCCCAATGCCCCTCCGATGAAGCACCAGTCCTGTTTCTCCCCAGCTAAAGAAATAGGAGGAAAGATGTCCTAGGGAGCATAGGAAATACATGACAGACTGCTAAATCATAGGGTACGTACATTGTCGGAAAACACTTAGGGACCAAGGCAGATCACATGTAAAAATAAATATATATACATATATGACTTTTTTAATCCTGAAATTTATGATTGTGTGTGAGTCTTTGGAGAAGGTACTGAAAGCACATTTGCACAATTTGAAGAATTGACCGGGTCCTTTATGTATAACACTGATGGAGCCCACACTTGATGTTCAATATATATTTATTAACAAATAGCACTGAGATGGTTGTTAGGAGGCGTACAACACAAAACACCCTTTTCTACAAACATTTGCATGCAAACTCACACACGAAACAACAACCAGACATGAAGAGGATACACATGATGAGGACAAATTCAAATTAGTGGGTACGATGTACCTACATGGAAGGCTAGACTCTAAGCGTTGTGAACTCAAGGTTCAAGTCAAATTTGTTTTATTTCTAAGATGTGGCACAGAAATCAGTGGTCGTGTCAGAAAGAGTAGTGGCACTAGCATTGGGTCTCATAGATGATCTAGGTGATACATAAAGCAAGGATCCTTTGGTATAGTCAGTGGTAGAGGCAAAGTAGGGAGAGTGAAAGTATAAAATGGTGGAACATTATATTAACCGTTAATACCATAGTCCCCACTTATCTGCAAGGGATATGTTCTAAGACCCCCAGTGGATGCCTGAATCCATGGGTAGTACCGAACCCTATGTGGACTATGTTTTTTCCCTATACATACATACCTACTGTAAAGTTTAATTTATAAATTAGACAGAGTAAGAGACTAACAATAACCAGTAATGAAAACAATTACAACCCTATACTGTAATAAAAGTTATGTGAACATGGCCTCTCTCAAAATACCTTATTGTACTACACTCACCCTTCTTGTGATGATGTCAGATGATAAAATACCTATGTGATGAGATGAAGTGAGGTGAATGACGTAGACGCTGTGACCTATTGTTAGGCTATTATTGACCGGCTGCCCACATGTTGGAGGAGGATCATCCGCTTCTGGCCCACGGGTGACCATGGGAAACTGAATCCGTGGAAAGTGAAACCATGAATGGGGGAGGGCACTACTGTATGTGCTTAGCTTTAGAATCACTCTTATTTTTGAGCTGCATCTTGAATATTAATTCAATCCAGTACCACCGAATACAGAATTAAAGAAATATTATTACTTTTTCTTTTTGGATAATGGTTGCTTTGGGAAATAAGCCCAAATCAGACGGATACTGGTGATAATATCTTCCAGATTCTTTTGATTAATGGCCACATGATTACAGGCCAGTTTTTGAGGCTTCTTTTTTTTTTTTTTTTTTAAAGATCTACTTATTTATTTGAGGGTGGGGGGAAGAGAGAGAGGGATAGAGAGAATCCCGAGCTGACTCTGCACTGAACAAGGAGCCTGATGAGGGGCTCCATCTCACAGCCCTGAGATCATGATCTGAACCCAAACCATGAGTCAGAAACTTCACCGACTATGCCACCCAGGCACCACTGCTTTTCAGACTTTTTAAACTGATGTTTCCTCATCTAAAAATGTGTGCGTGCATCTGTGTGTGTGTGTGTGTGTGTGTGTGTAGTGGGGCAATGGATAATGTTGGTATAATAACAAATCTTCAAAATGGTCTTGTAATTGAGATGACACCTCACACAGTGGTCTAGATCCTGCCCTCCACTTTAAATATTGGCCTCTTTGCCTATGACCCTTAACAATTTCATGTTTGCATTTCAAGAAAGCATTGTCAAAGTGCACTGAGCCCAGCCTTTTCTGGCTCATTTATAATTTACAATTTTTAGCTGTACTGTTAGCCTTTGGCTTCTATGCAAAAGATACATAATTTGTACATTAGATGAGGGGTGATGAAATGTGCCTTGGAGCAGTCAAGTTCTGTGTCATGTTCTGTAAGAGAAACACATTTTTCTACCAATATAACGAGTCAGCTGTCTTTCCTATGCTCAGGAAGGGAAACTTCTAAGCTGCACAGTGAGTTGTGATTACATTAATCGGTTTAGCCTATGTACTCCTTACTTTAAGTCAAGGGGTAGCCTCATCTGCAAGTAAGGGCTTATCTCAACACTCTTAAGCCTTTCTAGCACTCCAAAGGCCATGATTCCTGAATTCCTCTTATCAACTTTAAAGTTTCTCACTCTTTGAACTTCCCTAAATGCCTAATTTTTGTGGGATAAATGGAAACATTCCAAAAAGCTTTCATATAGTAAACATTGTTCTTGAGTATTATATTTCCAGTGTATGACACATGAGTTGATAATGTAATTTTTTGCCTTTAGGGAAGGAAATTTGTGTTTGCAAGACACCAGGAATCAGTACATTCGATCCTATGAAAAAATAAAACCAGGTTTTAGGAAAATAGTGCTGGGCTCCAGGCTCCCTGTGGATACTCAGGGCGATGGAAAGCACGGTCTGCCCTGGGGCCCATGTGGCAGGCATTCACTCAGGACTGATGGCTGGGTGCATGAGCTCATTCTGGTAACCATTCCCAGAACTACTGATTTGCACCCCATTTCCGAGTGCCCCTTTATGCCCCCTTGGAACCCAGCTAACTTCCATTTATCCTTCAAAGCTCTTCTCAATCGTGATTAGTGAACGGGGAGTTTTTTACTTTAGTACTTTTAATTTTTAATTATTTTTTCAGTGAGCATGAATTACTTTTATAGTTCAAGCAACAAAAAAAGAATAGAAAAAGTAAAACAAACAAACAAACAAACAAACAAACAAACAAACACAAATTCCCCAGAACCTTCTGCTTGCTCATCTCCTTCTCTGGGAAAAGTTTTTCTGGCCAGTTTCCAAATCCTCTTGCCCCAGTCCATATTTACTCATGCTCAGCTCTTTCTTCCCATGAATTCACAGGGCCTCTCGATCATTTACTTTTAGCCTCGGACTGATTTTATACTCTGCGGTAATTATATGCTCACTTATGCGTTGTTCTCCCTAGATTATAAACTCTGCAAGAGGCAGATACATAGCAATTATCTAGAATCCCAACATCTGTCCTATCTGAATTCCTGGCACATCACAGGTGTCTTGAATGAGGTGTGAAAATAAAAGGAAGATGCTAGTGCTCAGAGGGGGAGGGAGGAAGAGTGTAACTGAAGAACCAGGCACACTCATTTCCTGCTCACAAACCACCCCCCCCACCCCCCACCCCCCGGGGGAGACCCCAGGGCAGCCTCTTGCAATGGCCTCCTGCAGGCCTTGAGTGAGCAAGCCCATCAGCATTTTTTCCTGTTCCTTTACCTGAGTGCAGTACTGCTTTTCTAGCCTCTGGCTCTCCTTCTGTTTCTGGCAGGTGAGCGACACCACAGACACGATGGTGCCATTGTAGTTCTCCTGGGAAGATGTCCAGGACATCAACGCAGTGGTTGAGCTTAGAACGTGGACACTCACATGCTGGGGCTTCTCAGTCAGTTCTTCCATCCACTCTCCTGAAGGGCCTAAACATGTCAAATAAGAGCACAAGGGAGGTTTCATGCTGAGCTGGTGGAGATAAAAGAGTCGAGTTTTAAAAAATCATGATGTTTTCCTTTCGCCTTTACACAGACAGTCAAGGTTAAGACGGGCAGGTGGACCGGCACGGCTCTCTGTCCCCTGCCTCTGAGTTTATTCCAGTAGATTCTTCTCCAGAGAGAATCTACTTCTCTTTGAACGCAGAGCGGGTGTGGAAGTGGGGGCATTTCAGCGTGTTTAGAATTCCTTTGCTGTTAGGATCTTTGGTCTCTAGAAACAATGACTTTGAGATTCAAATTAGCCTTGACTGCCATCATACGAAAAGATGGATCAAAGAGGCGGAGTGCGACTATATTGAGAGAAGAAATAGGCAACAGGCTGGCTCAATTACAGAAGCTGCCTGAGATCTGGGTGATAATTTGAGGGACGCGGTCGGTTCCTCATTATAAAGTATCTCGTCAGAAGTGCCCACCATTTGCTTTGTTTTCTTAAGTTTCTGAAGTGGTTATTAGCACTGTGCCTGACACATAGTAAGGACTCAAGAAGCGTTGAGGTGGTTATTATCTACAGAAGTTCCTTGTTGAAATGCACATGTGCAACGTTCCTTTATTTGCTTAGGATACACTTCTCAGTGTCTTAATAGGGAGCTGTATTCCTGGGCTGGAACCCAGGAGGGGGAAAGAAGCAAGCGGATCTCCTGGGGAGAGCAGTCTCAGGCTCACAGCCAATGGGGCCAGGGAGATAATGACAATAAAAAATGACAGTAATAATGATGGCAAAGAGATAGAGCATTCGGCAGGTTGGCAGGTCGTAGGCTCTGCTTTAGGCTTGTATATGTTTACATATGTTAATCCTTTAATTTTCATAACAGACCTATGAGATAAGTACAAGTATTAATCCCACTTTCAGATGAGGGCGCTGAGGCCTCTACAGGATAAGTAGATTCACCCACAGGAAGGCTGGTTCCAGAATCCACGCTCTTAACCCCTGCAGGAAACCGCTGGGGGCACTAGGAACTGTGAAAAGCGCTGGTTTGGAGATAGGAAAGTTGACCAAAACTCGGCTTTGCTCATTATTAGTGACACAAACTTGGGCGAATGGTTTAACTTCTCTGAATCTCTGGCAATGCACCGGCCAAATGGATTAAACCATAGAATGTTAGAATTGAAAACTTGAGAGATCCAATACCTCATTTAACTGATGAGAAAACTGAGGCCCAGAGATGTGTATGACCTTCCAATGTCACACAGCTAGTAAGTGCTTGGGGCCCAACCCAGACCTCCGGCCTCCTGGCTCAGTGCTTTGTGACAATTTATCATGATGCCATCTGTCACTGGGATCAAATGAGATCATAGATGTTAGAGAACGCTGTAATTGTGAAGTGTTTTCATCGCCGTTAGGAAGATTACTGAGGTAGCAGGGGCACAGAGAGCCAAAGTGAGAGGAAGTAAAACAAATTCACTTGTTCAATGGTTTTACATTAGGACTGACCTGATGATCAAGCCAAGGTAAAGGGTCACTGCACGCTACGTGGAAATGGACTTTGCTATCAAATATTCCTAGGTTCTAGTCCTCATTCAGGCACTTGGGAAAGTTACTAAACTTTCTGTGCCTCAGTTTTTTTTTCCACCTGAAACATGGGGATCATTGAAATGTGAGGCTGTTGGGGATGAATGTAAATGTCTACCTTTCCTCTCATCTCTGAAGAAAGCCTTCAAAACCACAGAAATAAAAATCATAATGCAATACGAGAAATATAAATCTTAATGGAATTTAATAAATATTAATGTCCTAGCTTAACACCGGAACAGTTTGGTCAGGAAAACGGGCTGTGAATATCGTTTAGCTGGTATGAGTCTGTACTATGTTGAGGGGGCTTACTCAGTTCCAGTATAGTATTTATATCTATAGTTTCCTGTTTTAAACTAAAGGTGTATATACAGTACGCCTGAATAACTCATTACTGCAGAGCAGAATATCCTAAGCCCTAAAAATAGTATTCTTTTATTGGCAGAGAAAAAAACAGAATTTTTAGTGCCCTATATTTTCTAGATGAGTATTGAGATGCATCTCTTTGAAATAATCATATTTTTTAGCAATTCTGACACATTCTCAACAGCGCTAGTCAATTTGGATACTCTAGAGCAGAGCGCTGGACACATGAAAGTTGTTCAGTGAATATTTGTCAAATGTACAACAAATTTAATAAATAAGTAGTATAACCCCAGGCTAGGATTTTATAATTTGGTATGAGAAGTAAGATGTACACAAATAAAACAAATCTAGAAAAATATTATACACAAATAAGCTCTGTATTTTGTGTTGTGCACTATGAAACAGAGTAGAAATTCAGAGAAGGGAAGGACCAGTTTGGCCAGAATAGCTGAGGGAGATTTCCCGGAAGCTGTTGACACTTGGGCTGATCTCTACTGACAGACAGGGAAACCTTCTAGTTAATGAGACATTTTAAGCTTCACGGAAGAACTGAATACTAAACTTCATTCTCAAGTGACCTCATGTCAGAGATCTTCCATAACTGAAAACCAGGCAAGCAAAATTATGACTATTCTTTCTGTATACCTCATGGATCTTTAGGCCTCTTATCAGCGGCAACATTTTTGATTTCTTAAGTAGAAATGCTACATGGGGCATTTTCAACATTTTTCAGCTGTTAAATAAACGGATCTCTTCCCTCTGCCCCCCTTCTCATTCTCCCATCCACCCTTTTGAGGCTTATTTGGGGAAAGGAGGTATTTTGCCTTTGGAGAAGGTGATAAAGTGTGTGGTGGTCATCTTTTCTGAAGAGCGATTTTTATCCATTGCCATCTGGTTTTTTCTTTCTGCTGATGGGAGGCACATGTAACTGCTGATAAACCAGGTAACTGATTTTTGGCTTTGAGACCTCTGGTGAGCACATTCAGATTAGCTAAAAACATTACAGACATACACCATTCATGCAGCTTCTAGAGACTAATTATTTGCTCCGTCATTACTCCTCATGGAATCAGTAGAAACTACCAGAAGACTTGACACTGGGGCTTTTAGAATGCTCTAGCTTTGTCTTCTTGGGCCAAATTTATGGTGACCACCTAGGTCCTACGCCACTTAAATCTCTGGTTTTCTTTTGAGCTCTCTCAGCTCAATATTCTAATGAGACTTCTATCCCAGTCCAACAATACCAATTTTCTGTATGGCCTCAAACAAAAGTCATATGTCCTAAACCGTGTGTCTGTGTCCTTGGAGGGTCTGTTATGGTTAGCGTGGAAAGTCAGCTTAATAAATGTTCAGTTATCCCAATAATAAAAAAACCCATAAGCTAAATCTCTGCGTAGGTTTGCTACTATTAAACATACATATATTTCCTCTGCTGTCAAAATCTCATGGAACCGAGCCTCTTCTGACCTTGACGATTTCTCAGGGTCTCTGAGGTTTGATGAATAATTGATGCCTGAGCATCATTAATCTCCCCAGTTCCATTGTCCTAGCTCCCCTGTAAGTGCAAAATAATCTCTTTGGTACTTACTGATATAAAAACTGAGTGATTTTGCTGACTGACTTTTTCGAGTTTCACAAGATCCTGAGGAACTAAAGGTTGTCACAGATAACTTATATTTCCCAGGCTCCTTCAATTCTGCAACAAATTCATGTGCTTCTTCATCCACTGTCAAATATTCAGTAAAGTTTTCTGAATCATATATAAAAAAGAGAATATATATGAATTGAAACCTGGAAGGGCCCTGAATGTAGACAAGTCAATTAATACAAAAAATAAGTATTTTTTATACGTTTCCTTTCTTTTGTCAAGTTCAATTATACATCTTCATCAAAGCTACTAGAAAAGAAACATGACCAAGTATTCAAATTGCTTTTCACAACACTTCTAATTTACCAATCTAAAATATGGCATCCAAAGCAATAAAGCTTAGAGATGAGTATATACTGTATATTCTTATGCACTATTACCCAACAATGTCATATGCACAGAATAGAAGTAGAATGTCGGGATAAGATTGCAACAGTTGACTTTCTTATCTGGATATAAAGATTAAAAAAATAACCAGCAATCAGTATCTTATCAGTTCTTTGTGGTTAGTATTAAATACCCAGAAATGCCTTAAAATCAATGGAATTATTTCTAGTTGGAAATAATTCTCCTGGGCAGATTTTCTGACACTTGTAATACTTGTCCTTGATCTGTCTTCTTCCAGATTTTACTTTCTAAAAGTGAAAATGATTTTGCATTGCTTCAAAGTCCATCTCCTGCTGCTTATTACTCCATTTGAAGTTGTTCTCATCAGTTGGTGACTACGATAGACTTCAACAGAACACACAGCAGTCAGATGAAAGCATGATTGAACGTTCATGGAAATACCCATTAAAAAAAACAATTGTGAGATACAAGACCCTATTTTCCACAGAATATACCATGGGACAGGAAAATAAAAGACAAATTAAGGGCAGATGAAGAAAGATATCTTTTATACAAGTAATTCTAGGTAAACGTGAAGACTTTTGAGTCCAATAATTGGAAATGACAAAGGATTTCAATTTTACACAATATTTGGGTATGGTTGATTGCTCTATAATCCAGGATAGAGGAATCCACAGATTTTGGTGTCTTATTCTATAAAATAAAATGAGGGCAAACAACAGTATGCACTGTATGATACTACATGATATTAATGCCCTACCCTGAAAATAAAGCTATTATTTGAAACTTCAAATTCTAACAACTTGACAACTTTTACCACTCAAACCACTAGACTGGAAAGTATGAAATGAAGTGTGTTATTATAGAAACAAAACAAACAGCAAATAACGATAATAACCTAGCAAACAATTTAAACATGATTCATGACCCACATTGACTGCTGGCCAGGGCCCTGTTTTTCATAAGCTAGTGGACTAAAGTACGAAGAAAGCTCTGGAATGCTGGATCAATGACTATGATCCATGCTATGGCGAAAATACTAGTTGCTGTGCATTTTCTATTTTATGACCCACTCCTCTTCAGGCAAATGTGGAATGGTGCTGGTCCCTGAGGGGCACACCCTGAGGCAAATCAGAGTCGCTAGATGAGCAAGCCCCAGGGCTGACGCTCTTGGGAAGGTAGCCTTCTTGTCAGAAAGATTGTTTTGCTACATGCTTCACAAACTGTGTACTAGAAAACAGAAAATTTCTCCAGGATATTTTGTAATTTGTGATGGTTAGAACTTTAATTCAAAATCTTTCCAAACGGAAGGTTTTCCTCAGCGGCCCGGAGTATGTGACATGTTGGGCAGTGAAATGTGAGCAAGTTGTGAATACCCGCAACTTAGAAACTACCTAAACCCTGGATTCTGATCCTACCTATTTAATTTTGTTTTCTAGTCTTAGTGGGCATTGCTACTCAATTAAATTCTTCCCTTTCTTGACCATTTTGTCTTTAAATATTAACTGTCTCCCATTAGCCTTTTTTTCTAAATATTTTAGTTGCAACATATGTCAGTGCCCTTTCCTTTGTGTACCATTTCTTATTTTCGCTGATTTCCTGTTACTTTACCTTCTCTTTCTATGTGGATATGGAACCCATCGAAGGCAGTGGGTGGTTTGGGTGGTAACCAATTCAGGATCATTTGTACAGGAAAAAATGAGAGAGAGCCTGCTGTTGATTTCTCAGTCTCACTGAGTGTACTGTTATTTTCATATTCCATGGGAAGGACACTGACAAAATCATCTTCACTTTCGGGAGTTGCAGATGCGCCGCCCAACCAATAGGGCTGGGATGGAGTTTCGTAGTCACTGCTGTTGAAATCGGGCCAACCAGAAGAAATGTTGCCAGAGGGAATTTCAGGGGTTTCATCCATAAAATGGAAGAGTTTGTCTTTTCCCACTGTATCTTGTGATCTCATGAACGATTCCTCTGGAAAACTGCCACTCTGTTCTTCCCAGTTGTTTTTGTTCAAGTTTACAATACGAACTGAGATATTTCGAGGTGGATAAGGGGCTGTAAGAGAGAGAATTTTCATTTTCCAGTAATTTTTAGTTCTATGACAGTGAATACTTAATCTATTAGTAAGTCAAATACACAAGTGGATTTACAAAATAGAGGTTAATTTTACTTCTACTAAAAGATAGTAGAAGATAATCTACATCAAGAACTATTGTGGTGTTAAGTCACACATTTATCTAAGATTTTGTGCACGATGTGTATACATGAGTATATCACCACTCATACTTCAACTACATTAACTAGTGATATGATGCTTGTCCAGGTGGTAATTTAACCATGTCCAAGCAGAGTTTTGTAAATATTCTGTAGCTTATCAAAATCTCCTTTTATTTCTTTTTTTAAATTTTTTTATTTATGTTAATCCCCATACATTACATCATTAGTTTTAGATGAAGTGTTCCATGATTCATTGTTTGTGCATAACACCCAGTGCTCCATGCAGAATGTGCCCTCCTCAATACCCACCGCCAGGCTAACCCATCCTCCCACCCCCCTCCCCTCTAGAACCCTCAACACCCAAAATCTCCTTTTAAAAAACCTGAGTCTCTGCCACTGGATCTTCCTTACAAAAAAAAGCAACTCTAGTGTACTCTAGCTATCAAGATAAAAATACTCCCTGTGATATAGTTTCACTTAAGAAAGTTGCATATATGCCTTTGAAACACTAGCACACATGTTAGAAATACTGCTTCACTCCTCACTTCTCCCGAATGAAACATATGAGCACAAAATCCATGTGTGAATTAGGGAAGCATACTTTTCTAGAGGTAGAAAATTATGAAGGCATGCTGTCTGGTCTCTCCCTGCAATTCTTTCTCTACCTATCCTTCAAATAGCCCCTGAAATATCACCCCTTCCATGAACTTTGAATAAAAATTAATCTTTCCCTCCTTTGTGTAGTTACATAACTTTTGTACCTCTTAGGACATGTATCAGTTCTGCCTTGTATGATTGCCATTTGTGTTGTATCTCTACCATTTTTGAGGACAGGAAACTATCTCACCAGACTTTGTCTTCATCTCTCTCAGACTTAGCACAACTTCCCGGTAGAAGTCACTCAATTGATAACGTTTCCTTACTTGAATTGAATAATGAAAAATACAAATAGAATCTTAGATGTTGCCATGACGTGACTAACTTATTTAGCTGAAATAGTTTCTTTGTCTTGTCCTACTTAATGAAAATCATGACATCTTAGATTCAGACTGGCAGGGTCTCAGGGGTGATCTATAACAATCCATTCCCAATGTTCATATGAAAGGTATCTCCAACATTCCTAATGAGTAATTTGGACACATTAGGCACAGGCAATGTCAATTACATTGGTATTGGTGACAGGCATTTGGTAGGTGTATATTGCCATCCATTCTTCCATCCATCCATCCATCTATCCATCCATCCTGTAACAGTGCTTCCTATTAGTGATACTACTAAAATTAAACACTGCAAGTTTTAGACACATCTGAATCCCAATATTTTCCTCTAATAATCTGATATTCTTTACTAGAACATCTCTTATCATTTTTACTGCCATGTGGGAATTTTGCCAGGTTATCGAATACTTGGTCAAGTTAAGGTAATTAATTATAACTTTTGGTAGTATCATGTACTTTTTTTCCATTCAAAGATTATAAATCTATGATTACATTGATATATTTTAGATTTTTCTTTTGAATATTTTACTCAGTTCTTTTACATTGATAGAGAATTTGTTTTAGACTATTACAAATATATATTTATTTTATTTCTTAGCTCTAGAACATAATTTTTCTAGGAATGATAGAATGTATACATGCAACAAACATATAATTTAATTATTTTTTAACTAAATTTGATTCTTCAGAAGACTTACCAGTTCTATGCTGTTTAGGCTCATGACTGACACCACTGTACTCCACAAGAGTACTTTTATTAAAAGTTGCCTCAGATACCAGCTGAAAAGTGATGTTACTATAACATATTCCTGGCAGCCAGTGATTAAATACTGTTTTTCCCTTAAAGAAATCTGAGAATAAAAACAATTATATTAAAATTTTGATCTCCTAAATGCCACATATTTCTAGAAAGTTCTAAACAATTATGATTAAATAGCCCTAAGATATTATTTCCTGCAACTTCTGGCATGGTCAGTAATACAAAATTAGAATAAGATTAGAGAGGAAAATTTGGATCTTTATATCCAAAATCCTGAAAAGCTTTTTTTCTGCAGGAATTGGATACAATGGAATTAAATTTTTATTATAGGAACATTTTGTGTATTAAATGGAGAAGATAACATATAGAAATTATAGATTCAGTTTATGCTAACCATTTATTTTATGATAAAAATCAAAGATATTTTGCCACCTTATGACTTAGGAAAAAGTAATTTTATAAGACATGGTTTCACTAGGCTTACTTGTAAAACTGGCCTTAAAAGTAGAATGGTTTATCTGCCAGTTGGCAGCACCTGATTAAAAAAAAAGAAAGAAAGAAAGAAAAGAAGGATTTGGATTTAATTTGAAAAACATTAAAGAAAATAATAAAATTAAGATTCCAATTCAAATTAGAAGGAAATGTGGGAAAGAAACCAAAAGTACCACTTACTGAACTAAAAGCCAAAAATAAATTTAAAAATTAATTAACTTAAAAAGGAGAGCATATTTATTGATTTATTTAAAAACTCCTGGCTTTTAGTTCCACAAAAATTCCAGAGAATGCTTTTCAATTATTCATGAACTTGTATTTGCATGTGATCAATAAGCAAATAAGGCCCCATTTATTAGTTTGCAGATAATCTGTTTTCATTGAAAATTTAAAAATGCAGTAATTTGTGGAGTCTATGTTTATATTTATTTGATGGTTTAAAGCTTCAAAAACTATAAATTCACTGCATTGTTTTAAACCATGTCTCATAAAAAAGAAATCCATGGAAGAAATGAGTTTATAAAAGCAGCAAGTCAAAATGACACTTTTCTGGCTATCATGACCTGTGTGCCTCAGTATCCATTCTTCACCTCACCATTACCTATTTCCAGTTACAACCAGTCAACTTTGATAACCATCATCTAAGTCCTCAGAGAGAAATGTTACAGTTTTGTATCCTGAAACTATCTAAGTTCCTTTCCTTCCCAGTTCACTCCCAATGGAGCTGAATACCCTCCCTCCATTCCTCCCTCCCCACATTCTCCCCAACAGTCCACTCAGAGAAGGTGACCAGGTTCTTTGAAATGATTGATTCCCATAGGATCTCTTTTTCTCCTTTCCCCACAGGGTCCCCATCTGGCCAGTATAAACAATGAAACCAATTTTTGTATATTAATGCAATCATTTAACTGGTCATACAGATAAATATATCCAAAGGAACAAAAAAGCATTATCATTCACATTTGAGAATAATCTTGGACCACCTCCAAGCGAAACTTGGTAGAAAGTGCCTTTTGAACTTCTTAGTTCTAGAAATGCCCTTCTAACACACCCAGAAGGAAATGGTTAAGTGAGGTGCTTCTAAGTTTAAGTTTGAATTTATTTCTTGTACCAGACATGCTGCCTTTGGCAAGACTAACAAACAAACGATAATAATTTGAGTATTTCTTATGCTTTTGCATTGCATGTGACTCTAGCAAACCAGATGTTCTAAGATTCCTCATGACAAGATTTTCATAAATTAATAACTATTTTTAATGGTTCTTCCATGGGCAGGTAGAGAATCATAAGACCTCTTTAGAGGAAGACAGAAGTCCAATTAGCAAACATCATGTAAAAAGGAGTATTTTAAAGATGATATTTATCACCCTTCCTTTTGCTTCTTACCTTTATATAGCATTGTTCGGAAGTCTTTACCTTCCCAGTAGCTTATGTTTACTCTTGTGAAAACATTATATTTTTCTGGATAATGAATTTCAAATAGGACTCCTGTTTCAGGAGAAGGTTTATAGTCATATATTGAAACACTGGTTACAGGTAGGGGTTCTGCAGAAGGGAAGTAAATGGACAAAGGGGAAGTGGATAAAAAGGAAGAAAGGCCATTATCAGTATTTGGAAGTACCAAAAATTACACCTGTCAGAACACTTTCCACACTTTTATTATCCCATAAACATTAAACTCCCCCATACTCATGAGTTGACTGTTCTCCAGAGCAGTAATTAACAAAGTACATTTATGTGGTGTTTTGTGTCTTTCAAAGAACTTTCATATTCATTTTTCCATTTACCTTTTGCAACAACCCTGAGATCTAGGACAAGCAAATATGAATATTGCCATTCAACAGATAAAAATGATGATGACTCAGAGACTTTAAATTATTTGTCAAAAGTAATTTAACAAGTACATGGCAGAGTCTGTATCTCCAAATTCCTAGTTCATTTTTCTTTTTTCCAAGCCAAGAAAACTTGATATTAATAACAGACCAGTAACAGAAAATACATTTTGGCTCTGACCAAGGATAAATGTTTATGTGATTATTTATTTCTTTGTATAAACTTAGTAGTTATTTTTCTATATTAAGATTGCAAACCACCCTATGTTGTGAGAATTATAGTTTATGGTGTTTATCAAACCACTTTTCCTGCAGAAGCTTAAAAAATGTTTATTTCTATTTTGCTTGAGTTGTTAACCCATTACAAAACTTTTTAAATACTCATTTTTTAAAACTACAATTTGATGCACATCTGTATCTCCTCCATATCCCATTCTTCAGCAAAATTCTTGTAAAAATGACAGCGCTCCCTCACTCTTCTGAAGGAGCTGTTGGATTAGTTTTACTTGCATTCATTTGATTTGAGAAAATCATTTTAAATAATTTGGTTTGGAGTCAACTATTGTATTACAGACAAAAATAATTTTGATTCAAAGTTTTATCATTAGAGGATTCTCAGATATCATCTACAGCCTAAATGATATCAATATCCTTACTTTAAATTTTACACTTTTAAAATTTCAGTTTCAATACCCTAGGACACCAAAATTTGATTTAATTTATTCCACAAGTAGCAGGTACCTACTTTGTCTTAATCTGTAGGTAAATGTTTTTCATTTTGCCCTCCAGGATCGTGACCTAGTTTAGCTTTTGCTTTTGATTGACAAGATCCAGGAAGGATTGAAGCAACATATTAAAGCTTTGATTTTTCCTGGAATTTTCTTAAAAACCAAGCCAACATCTAGCGAAAAAGTCAGGAAGGACGTTCAGATTACAGCATATATTGTGATCATGTCCCCGTAGACTACATGCTGTATTCTCTGGCTAAAATGTTTCTATTTTATCTTTGACTTGTCCTTGGTCTTCTTGCTTAAAGGTAACATTTACAAAGTGAACACACTTGTGCCACGTAAACCAACCAACCAACCAACCAACCCGGCAAGACTCTTGTGTATTTCTCTTTGATTAATCCCCCAAAAGTTTTGAACTATTTGAAGGTCTTTCTTTCAACCCAGTCTAATTACTAACCCACGGAGTCTACCAAATCCACCTACTGCTTCTGGATCTAAGGGATCCAAAATGAAAGCTAACAACAAAAAGCAGCCACAGAGCAGGGACTCTTCCATTCCTGCTGTCCAGTATCTCATTCTCACCAGGGTTCTGTCTCCTGAAAAGAGAAGTGAGAGGTCCACCCAATCTTTCATGCCCTGAGGCATGACATCTGCACATCAAAGCCAGAGTCAAACTTTGAAATTCAAGAGATAGATGAGGATTACAGCATAGATATTTTATTTTGTGATTTTTTTTTTTTTTTTTGGCTGCTGCAAGCTACTTGTATTTAAACTAAGAATTTTTTTTTTTTAAGATTTTATTTATTCATTTGACAGGGAGAGACACAGGGAAAGAGGGAACACAAGCCGGGGGAGTGGGAGAGGGAAAAAGCGTGCTTCCCACTGAGCAGGGAGCCTGACGCGGGGCTCGATCCCAGGATGCTGGGATCATGACCTGAGCCGAAGGCAGACGCTTAAGTACTGAGCCACCCAGTCGCCCCTAAACTAAGAATATTTTAAATGCCTACAGACCTACAGGCTTTGCCTGTTTGCTTCTTATGGTTCTCTTGGCTTCAATCTAAGTGACCCGGGTCAGCTGTAAATTCTAAAGTCTAAGCCCAGCCATTACTGAGGCACATTCAGTCTATTTTCAGTAGAACTCAAATGCATTCTCTAAAAATATTTTACTGTGTCTCCAGTGACTTCCCTCATTATTTTTCTTTTTAGAAATTAAGTGATGTGTTATAAACCAGAGCTGCTATTATTCAAGTGTTTTTCAGTGATGACAAGGTTAAATCTTGATCTAATTCAATATTCCTTTCTCTGCAAGCCACACTTCACCCGTAGGAACCAGGCAGGACAGGATAGAAACATAGAGTTGTTAGAAAATGTGAATCATTTATTACTTTTGTTCGTTTGTTCCTTTTTTGTCCTCAGGTCTTTTTATTTTTCAAAAAGCTAAGCATTATAAAATATATTTGAAATTCCCTCATATAACTCACTCAGACCCCCTTTGCCTCCCACCACGGCCAGAGATAAATTAGTACTCTGAATTTGGTGGTTATCTTCTGATGTGTTTTTTACTTTGATATTTATATGTGTCCAACATCCATACAAAATGTTATTTTGCATGTTTTAAAATATGTTAATGGTATCATAGTACATGAATTTTTTTGCAGCTTATACTTTTATCAACTATCATGCTTTTGAGATTTCTCCATCTTGATGCAAGTATCTCTAGAAACTGTTTTAGTGTTCACTTTAGAATTATACAGACTCTACTGTTTATCTGTTATTTTGTTAGATTGTTTTCAATCATCCACTTTTGCAAATAAAGTTGCAATAAATGTCTTGAGATATGTTTCTGGATTAAATCTTGGATAGCAGGGTATGCACATCTTCCATTGTATGAAATATTGTAAAAATGTGTTCTAACTCTATGTCAATTTACATTTCTATCAGCAGTGTATGGTAGTTCCTCTTTCTCCATATTCTTATTCAACACTTGTTCGTATCAACCTTTTTAGTTTTTGCCACTCTGAGACATATGAAATTTTTAATTTCCTGTTCACAAAAGAGGTTGATTATCTTTTCTTATGTTTATTGGTCATTCAGCTTTTCTTTTCTTAAAATCGTTTGGTCTTTTGCCTGTTTCATGGGTTCATTTTCCATATTCTCCTGCTAATTTGTAATGCACCTTCTGTCATATACTGCATTCCCACTGTCATTTTTTTTTGTGTGTGTCCTATGCCTTCCTTCTGGATTCACCTTCCTTGTTAAAACATATCACTTAGTGGTTATTTAAGTTAGAGTCTAGGTGTTAAATTCTCCTAGGCTTTGTATTCTAGAAAAGTTTTTTATCTTTATTCTTTATATATTTTTATTTTTTTATTTTTTTAAAGATTTTATTTATTTATTTGAGAGAGAGAGTGCGCATGAGTGGTGGGGAGGGGCAGAGGGAGAGGGAGAAGCAGGTTCCTCACTGAGCAGGGAGCCGGACGTGGGACTGGATCCCAGGACCCCGGGATCATGACCTGAGCTAAAGGCAGATGCTTAACCCACTGAGCCACCCAGGTGTCCCTTTATCTTTATTCTTGATGTAGTTTAGCTGGATATGAAATTATAAGATTTCCTCTCAAGATTTTGAAGCTATTGCTCCATTGTCTTCTTGAATCAATCATTGTGGAAGAGAAAACTTCTGTGAGCCTAACAGTTACTCCTTTGTACATATTATGTTTTTTTTCCCTTTGATACCTTCTAAGCTTTTTATTTGTCCTTGGTAATCTAAGATTTCACCATCACATATCTAGATATAGACTTATTTTTGAATTACCCTATAAGTATTTGGAATGCTTTGTCAATCTGTGGATTCATGTCATTCTTCAAGTCTTGGAAATTTTCATAATCAACTCTTGAAATAGTGTGCCCATTATTCCCTTCATTCTCTTTTTCTTGAACTCTTAACCTCCTTAGTTAGAGCCTCTCCCACCTTCATATCTAAGAATTGTGCTAAATAATGGGCAATCACAAAGAATACCTTTCAATTTATTATTTAAATGCTATCAGTACAGAATTTATCCCATCAGTTGAAGTTTTTTGATTGAATCTAAATTTGACTAAGTAAGTGAATTTTGCCTAGTCTAACCAACTAAATTTTAAATTAAATAATTGTATTTTTCACTTCTAAAAAATTCTAATTTATGTTTATTTGATTCATTTTTATTTAATTTCTGCCAATCTTTGCTTCATTATGTTTTAATCCTTTTAAATGGATGGAATTCTTATATATCTCTTTGAACATCACAACATACTGTAAATTTGTTATCAAATTGCTATACAAGGGGCGCCTGGGTGGCTCAGTCGTTAAATGCCTGCCTTCAGCTCAGGTCATGGTCCCAGAGTCCTGGGATTGAGCCCCGCATCGGGCTCCCTGCTCGGTGGGAAGCCTGCTTCTCCCTCTCCCACTCCCCCTGCTTCTCCCTCTCCCTCTCCCACTCCCCCTGCTTCTCCCTCTCCCACTCTCCCTCTCTCACTGTGTCTCTCTCTGTCAAATAAATAAATAAAAATCTTAAAAAAAATTACTATACAAAATATAATTTGCAATGTTATGGTTGTTGTTTTGATGTCTATCTTTTTTAGCATAGATTTCATTGTGTGTTTTGAAATACAAGCCCTAGGCTAACTTTGTGTCTTCTTATTGCCCTGTTTCTTGCTTATTCTTGCTGTTGAGACAATTTAGCCATTGCTTCCGTTCAGCTCACCACAGTGCCCAGTCTAGAACCAGGGCATATAATATTATTCTGAGATTCTTGATATTATGGATGATATAGTGGCTATCACAAATTCATTCCCTGAGTCAGAAGGTAACTAAGCTTGGTCCTTGAGAGTAAGATTGACTGTGTGTTCCCTGCATCCCAAGGCCTCCATCTATAATTTTATCACAGGCAGAAAGAATCTCTGCTCCAAACAGAAAGCCTGGCTCTGTGCCCTACCTGGTATGGAG